AATAGTAAACTTGGTTAATTGTTTGCCCAGTTGGTACAAATTGATAATGAATGATCTCTCTGATATCAAAAAAAAAGGTTAGCAACATCATTGCAACAAGTTCACAAACTTAGTGTCAGACTTCGTATGTGGAATCTACACAACAAAAAAATAAACAAACAAAACAGGAACTCTCTGGCCCAAGACAAGAAAAGTATCTGTCTAAAGAAAAATTCTGTGATTGTAATCTCAGCTGCCATGCATGTATTTCAGGTCATTTTAGAATAAACTTTTGTCTCTGTTTCCAGCCATCAAGCGTTCTGAAATGTTGAGGTCCAGTTGCCGAGGGGGCCAATCCAGACAGCAAGGACCGGATCCTAGTGGTGAGCACTCAGCAGTCAGACAGAAGAGCATTATGAATCCTGGTCATCTGTTCACTGGGCTCCTGGCCCCACGAGAGGGACTGGCCTTGGCAAGACCTACCTGGAAGAACTGTTTCTCGAGGCTGAGTGAGAAGTTACAACTTCTAATAGATAGATTAGGACTTGTTTAGTGAAGACGGTATCATTGATGTAGGGGAGCTGCAAACCTCATATGTGCTTTTCTGTAATAAACTATCTTCATGAGGCAAAGACCTGCTTTTTGCATGACCCTGGATGGAGGACTAGCCTAAGTGTGGGCACAATGGTACTGCTGCCAGGGACCCAACAAGGATACGCCCTGGGCCAGGGTGCAGGAAGAGTGAGAAATCGCTCTCATCATGGAGACACCTCTGAGAAAGCTAAGTTGGAATGGGATCCTTCAAGGCCATGGGACTCTTGTGGGAAAGAAAGGTGAGATGAGTACAAAGGGAGTGCCTTTAAGGATGCTTTGATAAGCTGAATTGATGATGCCAGGGAAACCTAAACACATCACTAGTCACTAATAGAAACGTTTGGAAATGGTGTGTGGCCACCGGTTGGGAGCCAGTTAACAGTGAAGCAGGTCCTCAAATTCTATACTTACATTCCATCTGTAGTTGAGGTGTTAGGGCATAAATATTCTGGGAAATCCCTCTAGAGCAGCGGTTCTCAACCTGTGGGTCTCGACAACTTTGGGGGTCGAACGACCCTTTCACAGGGGTCGCCTAAGACCATCGGAAAACAAAAAGATACTTACATTATGATTCATAACAGTAGCAAAATTACAGTTATAGAGTAGCAACGAAAATAATTTTATGGTTGGGGGGGGTCACCACAATATGAGGAACTGGATTAAGGGGTTGCGGCATTAGGAAGGTTGAGAACTGCTGCTATAGAGCCAATTACCTGAAAAGCAGCTAGAATCATACCATATTCGTGTCTGCCCACCAAGTCAGTCGTGGGGATCCCACAGAAATTTAGGATGAGACCCAAATATCCAGGGTCTAGGACTCTTCAGACCCCAACGAACCTAAACGTCTCCCGCGACTGTTAGACACTGTCAGCCCGTGAAGCGAACACAGCAGCTGGACGTCCTAGAAGCACCATGGCATATGGCATGACCCAGCCCCGTGCATCAGCATCTCGCCAGCCAACTTGTGAGGGAAGGGCCTGGGGACTGCCCAGCAGAGCCTGTGCACACTCAATCAGGAACTTTTCACAATCCGGCAGGGGAGAGATGTGGCCCCACCTATGTGATTTCAATCAAGAAAACCCAGGAACATATGGGGGAAAGTGACAAAATTCAAGTGTCTGAACTTCTGAGAGGAAACAACTGCTCAGCACAGAACATCTTGTCATAAGCTAGGCAGGGGAAGCTGTCAGTCACGAGGCATTTTCAGCCAAATACCCCCTTTCAACTAGCCTTTCTTATTATATTACTATCCTTCCTCTTCTCCTCACTCACCCACCATTTTTAGTCTTCCTATAGTTTATGTATTAAAATTGTTCCACAATAGAATGCACGTAGACTACTGCCCCAGGGTCAGCGAAGGCTGGGGATCCAGCTATTATTCCAGTTGCAATGGCTTTTCAAGACCTCCTGGGAACTGGCAAGAAAACAGATATAGGACCCATGACAGAATCTAGTATTAGTGCATGGGTCACTCCATCAGAGCAAAAGTGACTTTAAAATAAGCATACATACACACACACACACACACACACACACACACACACACACACACACTCATAGGTTTCATTATATTTTACGGAGGAGTCACAAGCTACTGTCATGAACTTATTGGAACAGAAGAGTGTCTCATGACAGTTTTAAGTGACATCTCTGAATGAGAGAACAAGTCTGTAACTGACTATTTTGGTGGGTACAGTGACAGCGAGGAAGAAAAAATGCAAGGGGTAAAGGCGAGAGAGAACAAAACGCAAGACTTTAAACCCTGGAGATGTGGCACTGAAGGGAAGAAATTTGGGAAGCTCTTTTTAAGAACGATGTGTTTTATTCTGACAGGTTGGTCACGAAGGGCTTATTCAAAGTTGGCAAGTCCCACCACCTCTATTCTGACACCATCTGGTATAGGGGGACGCAATTCTGGAACTAACCACCTGGCATCAGAGTCAGGCTCCACAGGCTGACGGACTCAGTTCCAACAAGACTGCCCCCACCAGACACTAGCCATACTTCAGTGGTCCCCAGGCTACCCACACTTCCGAGTGGCTGCAAATCCAGAAGGTTCCCATGATGTCTTAGTCTGGGCTGCTATAGTGAAAACACCATAAACTGGGTGGTTTAAACAGCAAACATTTATTTCTCACACTCTGGAATGCTGGTAGTCCAAGATCCAGGCGCTGGGGAATTCAGTGTCTTGTGAGAACTGCTGCTTCTTGCTCTGTCCTCAAATGGCAGAAAGGGTGAGGCAACTCTGTGGGGTCTTTTATAAGGGCACTAATCCCATTCATGAGGGCTCCATCCTCATGATCTAATCACATTGAGGGTTAGGTTTCAACATAGGAATTTCAGGGCTACACAAACACCCAGTCTATAGCACATGACCTTCTTCAAGTTCTATAATTCACTAGAACTCAGAGCTCAGAAAAGCACCATACTTGGAATAGTTTTCTTGTAAAGGATACAAATCAAGACCAGCCAAATGAAGAGAGACAGAGTGAAGTCTAGGAAGGACCCAAATGCAGAGCTTCTGAACCCCCTTCCTGTGGAATCAGGGTGCATCCCCTCCTGGCACATCACTGTGTTCAGCAGAGCTCCAGTGTCCAGAGTTTTTAGTGGGATTTCATTACAAAGGCCTAACTGACTGAATCGCTGGCCATGTGTTTCAACTCCATCTCCAGCCCCTCTCCCTGTAGAGGTCAGGCTGGCTCAAAATCCCAACCCTGTAATCTCATGGTTGGTCTTTCTGGTGACCAGCCCCCCATCCTGGGTCATCTCAACTTCTAGCATAAACTCAGGTGTGATCCAAAGGGCTCATGAATAACAAAGATACTCCTCTTACTGGGGGAAATTCCAAGGATTTAGAATTTCCCCACCAGGAACCAGGGACAAAGGCTAAATGCTTTATGACAGTAGTCTCCCCGTATCCATGGTTTCACCTTCCTGCAGTTTCAGTTACCCCTGGTTAACCATGGACTGAAACTATTACAGAAATAAGCAATTCATGTTTTAAATTGCACGCAGTTTGAAATAACACTCTCTCAGTGTCCTACCCCATCCCATCCAGGTAGGTGAATCAGCCCTTTGTCCAGCATATCCATGCTGTATGAGTATATGCTACCCGCCTGTTAGCCACTTAGTAGCCCTCTGAGTTATCAGATCAATTATTAGACATTTTGGGAAAGACCACATAACTCTTATTATAGTATATTGTATAACTGTTCTATTTTATTAAGTTATTATTGTTAATCTTTTACTGTGCCTAACTTTATTAATTAAACTTTGTCATTAGTATGTATGTATGTATAGGAAAAAACATGAGTCTGTCTAGGGTTTGGTACGATCCTTGGTTTCTTGCATCCTCCTGGGGTCTTGGAACATATACTCCTCAGATAAGGGGGGACAACCGTATACGACAACCTCAAACCCGCAACTCCTACCCCTCTGCAAAACAAGGATAAAATCCACAGAACAGAGCCCATCACTAGCCTGGGCTGTGTATTGTTTTATTTATGTTTAACTTATTATGGAAATTTTCAAAATACACAACAGTAGAAAAACATGATATTATAATGAAGCCTCACATCACATTACTGTTTCACTCTTTATCAGCTTGTGGTTCATCTTTTCACTCATACCCCCCCACCCCCACCCCTTTCTCCCTACATCCATCCTTGGATTATCTTGAAGCAAAACCCAGAAGAATATCCTATCAGTTTGAGAATTCTTTATCAAGAATTTTCACCCTTGGCCGGCCTCAAATAGGCTATAGGTCTGCTGAAATCCCAAGCCCTGGAGGCAGCTGGGTGGGGCCTGGGCAACCACAGCCCTGTAGGCAGTTATCTAATGACCCCAGCAAGACTGGGTAAGTAACTTGTCTACACACCCTGTGATGCAAGGAAGAATACCAAACACTGCTTTACTACATTCCAAGTTTCTAAGGCATGTTGGCCAACTTTGGCCCTTGTATTTCTCGTAGGTTTCAAAAGATCCACGTCTACAGCCCTCGTTATCTCCTAAAGAATCAACTCTAAAAAAGCAGCTAAGAAGTAACAGCTCAAATACTCCTAATTAATTAAAATCAAAGGGCGGGGGCAGAATAAAGTAAGAGAGAACATATCAGTATTAGTTATAAATCGCAGATCCATCTCAGTCATTAAAACAGGGGAAACCAGCCAACCAGTCTTGAATACAAAAACTTGACCCTGACCTTTGGATTTTCATGCCAGAGTGACTGAGACAGTCCCTAATCCCTGGGTCTGAGATAGTATTTTTGTGTTTCTGGGAATGTCTGACACTTCCCCAGGGCACCAGGGGGCATGTAGGAGGCATCTGAGAGGCATCTCCTCCACGATAGGTTGGCAAGAGTGGTAAGCAGTCATCCGTATCTCCCCATTTGACTTACTCTGCAAAATGAGAAGTCAGATGAACACAAAGGTTCCTCTAACTCTAGGACTCTAGGGTTAGGCAGCAGCCCTACAAGGTGAGGGAATGTAAGGTTTGAGACAGCAAGGGCATGCTCCTCAATTTACCTCTCCAAAGCACCTTGTACAGAGCTTGGGTTACCTACTTGCCTCTTTTATGAACAGAGGGACTCCTGCTGCCCTGTAGGATCGCCAGGAATGGCCTCTCCTTCGCCCTCCTTTCTGCAGAAGAGCCACAGTAGGACTCATGGGTTCATCCTCAGCTTTCTCCTCTAAGCCCAGCTGTTCCCCAAGTACGACTTGGCTTCAGCCAAGGCTTTTGTTTTGGAATGTCAATGAAGCTGCTTTTGGCCATCTCCAAAGGCAGAGAAGAATCACCAAAGAACTATTCTTCCCAGTAGCAAAGGAAGAAAATATTTAAAAACCACATTTCAACTATTGCAGGGAGGGCTTCCCGACAAAGACGATCTCTCTTCCAAGGAAGTGAAAGTCCTTGTCGGGAGATGACACAGGTCAACACTTCTGTCAGGAATACCAAGTGCACTGGGCCTGACTAGAGAGAGTATCCTGGAATTCCAGCACAAGGCCAGAGGTGCGTTCAGTTCTCAAATATGAAAAGGACTGGGGACCTCACCTCCCCAGTGGTGCCCTTTTTCATATCACAAACGGCCTGGCCTGAGCTTCTGTCTTGGGCAAGCCCAGAGCAGGACTCATTTGACCATAAGAGGTGAAATTTCTTCCACTTTTAGAAATTTCTTCTCCTCTTCCACTTATGTCCTGACAACATCAGGAATGGAACACCAATCCATTCACTCCTGCCCCTTAGTGGGCTGAGGGTATTTTTACTGCACAGCAACACTGCAGGGAAAATAGCCCCTTGTGCTGGAGCTCTACAGCTTGTCCCCTCGCTGGTCCTGATAAAATCTTCCTGACCCCCGCTAGCCTGGTCAATCCCCACATCTGGAATTGGCTCAAACAAGGAAGACAGCAGAAGGGGCCAGAGCCAGCGACAGGCCTGACTCATTGGAGGGCCAAGTGCTGAGTCTGCAGCCTGTGGAAGGCTGCTGTTGCCCATGGGATCTGCGAAGGGCCCTTTTGGCAGTAGGTAGTCACCCCAGAGGGTGACCTAGTGTGGCCCGGAAGGCCCCTAAGGCCTGTCCCATGATAGCAGGGTTCAGATACGGAGCTTAGGTATCTGCTAGACGGTGCTGGCCACAATGGTATCTACACCAGCCCGTCCGGTACCCCACAATCCTGCGGAGGGGCAGCTGTCCCTGAAGAGAGTTACCAATAAGGCAACACACTTTGACAAGAGCAAAACCACCACACCTCTGTCAACCCAGGTCAGGGTCCCTCTCGCCCAGTGGAGTTCCTTGGCCCAGAGTCTAGGATATGGGAAGAAGGCTCCATGGCTGCAGCCAAAGCATCTCTGCTGAGACTCCTTTCGTAATACTTGGGAGTCGGAGAGGTTTCCATCCACATGGGACCTGGGGCACCTTGACCTTGAATCACAAATTCAACATAGACTGATTCAGATCATGGTTTTAAACCTTAGACAGAAAAGGTTCCTGTTGGATTGAACAGTTTAAAATTCTCGATTGGGTAATGAGGTGTTGTAGGGTAGGGAGGGAGGCAGGGCTATTCTCCAGTGGAGGAAGAGGACACACGTCGTCGAGAAATTTAGGTCTGGGTGGAGGCCTGCTGTGGGTGGTTTTCCTCAAGCACAGAAAATAACCAGGAACTGAGCATTCACCCCAACCCCCACATGTGGGTACTGTTGGGAAGGGAGAGTAATTTGACGACTTAGATTTTTTTTTTTTAATCTATAGACTAACTCTGTTGAGAGTAATCAAAACACCAAAATCTGAAGATTATTCCAGAGAAGCAAGGGGGCATACGCCAAGAGGACTGAGAAAACACCTGCAGTGACTAGAGATTTTCTCCAAGAGGAAAGGGACACTAATGACTTGACTCCCAAAGCCCTGTCCAGCCGCCCAGCTGCCTAGGGTTCTACCATAACTAGGGGAGAGGGGGTATTCTGCCCTCATGGGCAACAGGGGGCAGAAACACTTCATTGCCCACAACACAATCATCCCCCTACCACTTTCCTTGGCCAAATCCCTCCCTTATCCCATCTCCCTACCCTCCAACTCTCCTTCCCATCCTGTCACCCCTGAGGACTCTCAGGAAAGTTCTCTGAGAGAGTTCCCCCCGCAGCATTTTCACGAGAGCCTTGGGCACTCCACAGGCAGTCAGCCTGTGGCCTGCCTACTTAAAGGAGCAGATAGAGATGGTGGCACCTGCTGAGAACACCCAGAGGGCCGGGTACAGAGCCTCGGTAAAGTCCTCCTTGAACTTATACATCAGGTGGACCTTGTCACCAGCGACAGCAAAGAAAATGACAAAGCCGTGGTCGCAACTGAGAAGCACACCAACCCGCGTGGCCTTGGTGGAAGGCAGGGTTTTCTCCACATTGTTGTGCCAGACAGAGATTTTGGTGTTGAACCACTCCACACACCAGGAGGCACTATTGCGGCCCAGCCGGCTCTCGGGGCCCTGGCGATCCATGCTGCCATAGCAGATGCCGATCCCACAGAAGTTGTTCTTCTGCAGCTCCACCTCCCAGTAGTGGATCCCTTTTTTGTAGCAGTGCAGGCCTAGCACCTGAGAACAGTATGTGAACCTCTGGGGATGTGGCCGGTAATTCTGGGGTGTCTCAGCCACAGATGCTACAGTGTAGTTCTCCGACAGAGCCACCTTGTTGTTGGCGGTGTTGTAGTCTAGGATGACTTTCACAGAATCTGAAAAAGCATAACCCCAAGAAATCAATTACAAGGAGCCCAAGGTGTTCTCATTTTTAAACCTTTCCTCAACTGGTAGTATTATTAGTTTTATTCATCCATCCATCCATCCATCCATCCATCCATCCATCCATCCATCCTTCCATCCATCCATCCATCCATCCATCCATCCATCCATCCATCCTTCCATCCCTCCATATATCCATCCATGCATATATCCACTCATCTGTTCATCCATCCATAACTAAAGCCTAACCAAGAACACAAAATCCCAGCGAGCAGGAACTGGCCTTGGGGAAGAAGACGGGGAAGGAAGAGTGAGGGTGTGGATTCAAGCGAGATGAAGACAGCTGAGAGCGTGAAGGAGTCCGCTTCTGGAGTGTCTCTCTTCTCTGTAAAGCAGAGGAGGCTGGATGGGACAGAGAAAAGACTGAAGTCATGCAAGTGGGAAGGTTCTGGAATGGCAGGGAAGCTGACAGAAAAACACGAGTGTGAGTGCTGGCAGTGGGACCAGTGATGTCTCGGGCACAGCCACTGCCTGCAAGTGCTACTCACATTCCAGGAGCTCAGATCTGGACTTGGCTAAGAAGTTCTCCAGCACCTTGGCCTTGAGAGATGTTGAGTTCGGCTGCAAGGTGGTGGCTTTGGCTGAAGCTGGGTGAGGAAACAGAGAACCATTTTCAGAACAAACTCAGGCTGGACACCCCACTGCCCTTTGCCCACCGTAACTCACTCTCCAAGCTAGCTTGTTTTAAGTCCACCAACTGTTCCGGGGCTCCAAAGGTGGGAGTCTTGCTGGGTGAGGCAGCACCTGGGAATGAGGGAGGAGAAGCATGAGTTGGGGACATGACACGGAGTGGCCTGGTGCCCCTACTCCCTTCCAAGCTGATTTTCAAGAGCCACTTCCACAAACACACATCTGGACAGCCAAGGCAACACAGGTGAGTCCACACAGGGCTGTGCTCATCTTATTCGTTTATAGTTGTCTTCCCCTCCCACCTCAGGCCTGCTTGCCATTACAGAACACAATCCTAGAACCTAGGCTCTGTCACAGAACCCAGACAAGTCAGGGCGGCTTTCACTGCCAGCATTTAGTTTGGCACTCAGGCAGTCTCAAGAAACAAACAGAGCAGAAATGTATAACTTACCAGGTTTCTTGGGTTTCTTTTCTTCTTCTGAAAAAGAAAATTTTCAGTATTATGATATTTTAAAGCACAACACCATGACACTTTCAAAAGGCCACAATAACATTCATTTGCATGAATGTGACCCATTCAACGCTAGGATGTTTTAACTTAAAAAAGCAAAGGGGTCAACAGGCAAATAGGTCTATGGTGATAGAAACCTGCATCATGGAGGGACTGACTAAAAATGAGCATGATGGAATTTTCTGGGCTGATGGAAATTCTTTATCCTGATTTGGGTAACAGTAACACAAATGTATGCATTTGTCAAAATTTACCTAACTGTACATTTAAGATCTGTGCATTTTACTGGAGATAAATTGTATCTCCATAAAAGGAAAAAGAAAAAAAATGGAGTCAACAACAACAACAAAAAGTGCTGGCCAAGTATTGCAATAGTCTTTAAGAACTATCTGGAGGGCCGGCTGAGTGGCACGATGGTTAAGAACTGGCTTGGAACGCCAGAGGGCCCCGGTTCGGATCCCACATATGAGGGCAAGTGACACTGTCCTCCACAGCTGAGATGCTGAACAACAGCTCAACCTGGAGCTGGGCTGCCGTGAGTCGCTGGCAACGGCGACAGCGTAGGCTGCAGCCCCTGCTGCAGTGGGTTGCCATGGGCTACTGTGTGTAGCCAGCAGCCAGCGTGAGCGGCCGCCCCCAATTCCCCAGCACTGTTCCCATCCCCCCAATTCCCCAATAAAAATCTTAAAAAAAAAAAAGAGTATAGACACAAATTACCAACATCAGGANACAAAACGACAGCAACTTGTCTGTTCCCCTTCCCCCAATTCCCCAGCGCTGTTCCCATCCCCCCAATTCCCCAATAAAAATCTTAAAAAAAAAAAAAGAACTATCTGGAGTGCGTGCCTATGGGAACTGAGTTAGCTAAGACAGTGGTTCTTAAAGTGTGGTCCCCAAAGCAGCAGCAGCAACATCACCTGGGAACTCACAGGAAATGCCAATTCCTGGGCCCCACCACAGGCCTCCTCCAGGTCCACATGGCCCCGTAGCTCCCTGTTCCTCCCATTTCAGAGTTACATTCCTCAAGAGTTGCTTTCACTCTCAGCCCCATTCCCTCACCTTCCACTCCTCTACCCCTTCCTCCAATGGGACCAGCATCTTGGGAGGACCCCAGGCTGTGATGCGGGCTTAGGTCACACAATTCTTAGGAGCTGCATCTGCACTGTGAACAGCCCAACCTCCTTGCCTATTTCCCCATCCCAGCCTCACGGCCGGCATCCACCTCTTACGAAGAGTGGAGCTTGTGATCTGGAGCAGTGATCAGGACACTTACAGGAGAACAACTGGAGAGGGCTACAGGTTTACAGTCCTTTTTCACCTACTCTCCCACTTGCCTATTCACACAAAGTGCCCGTCCACATTTTCTGGTTAGGCAGGGCTCCCTCCTCTACCTGGACCAGGCATCCCAGACCCTGACTCGACTCCATTCAGGGACTGATACCACACATTCGTCTGCCAGAAAGAATCTAAACACTAAAATAAACAAACAAAACAACATCCAAGCAACCCAGCGTTCTCTTAGCCCCTCAACCGCCCAGTGGCATGGATATTACAGTTCATACTGACATCAGGGAGGCAAGGTGGCAGACAGTTCAGGGGCATATTTATGGCCTTCAAAGAGCTTTGCCAGTCTGCATCCCATGTGAACCTCATTCATAATAATCCTGTGAGCTTGATATCATTATGGTCCAAATTTGATGGATGAGGAAACTGACAGCCATTCTTGTCCCCAGCCCCCATCTCAATGGCACACACTTTCTCAACGAGGGTGGTGGTATCACCCCCAAGGGGCCAAAAACTGATTCTTGGGGGGAGGGCGGGGGTTAATAAAATCTTATTCTTTTTGTGTATAAAAGCACAGTATATAAACATATATACCAAACATGTGTCCTATTGAAATTTCATGGGCAGAGGCAATTAGGAAAAAAATTTTTCTTAAATGGCTGAGGCAAAGGGAGAGGGGGGCGACAATGCAAAAAAACCAGAAGTTGAGAAGCGCTGTGACAGCAGAGGCACATGACAACTCGAGACAGAACAGCTCTGAACTCTCAGTGCAGTTTAGCCTCAGCTCCTCTGGGACCCCTGCTCGTCTCCTCCAGGGTACTCTGCCCAAGTGCCAGGACGCGGGCGCCGTCAATACTTCCCAAGACGAGCCAGCTTTGGTAATCTTACTGTGCCAGAGGCTTGACTATCTACTGCCGATGGGCCAGTCCTCCCAGGTGCCCCAGGGGGCTTTAGCCCTAGCTCCCTCAACTTCCACTCAGTGGGGTCAGAGCCACACTTGACCCCACGTGCGCGTGGGACCCCAAGGTGACTTGAGATAGGCTGTGCCCATCTGGAAAGAGCAGTGACACCTGTAAGAGCCCTGGCCAGCCACAGCCATGCCGCTGCCACAGTGACAGTGGGGTTACTTACTCGGGACCTTCTTCAAAGGGCGTGGTTTGTGTGTGGGTGCCGTGCCATGCTCTGCAGGGTCCCCTGTGCCAAAGAAGAAGGGGTAAGTTTATGTGGCTCCTCCAAACCAACCCCAGGAGCCAGCTTTGCCACAGGCGGGTGGGTAGCAGGTTTATAAAGGCAGCCATTTCATGGACCTTCCCCATCCCATCACTTATAAGAGCTAGAAACCAGGTAACAGAAGGACCACACTGGGGTGTCCTCTTTCCTCTGACTTAAAATGTGGCTGGGGTCGAGTCTTTTCCCCACTGGCACCCAGCTCCATGAGCTCTACACCCTCTCTGAGCTTCAGATTCTTCACGCACAAACGCCTGCGGCCCTTTCTCAGAGCGATGAGACCAAGATGCCTGGCGCGTAGCGATAGTTCCTTCCCCTCTGGGTTTTCTCTCACACCTCTTCCCCCAGACTAGGGACCGCTGAGGTAGCAGGAAAATAAGTCTGCATGTCCAATTCATCATCAGCTTTACCCTCCACCATGAGGCCAAACCACGCCTGTGTCAGGGGCCCTTCTGCAAGGACTCTCAGCTTGCCAAGCTGAAACTCAAGCCTAGTCCCCTGGCTAACACAGCGAAGTTCACTATGAGCCAGGCTCTGTGCTAGGCACTGCGGAGAGTGGTGGCTGAAAACAGACCCAGCCATGCCCTCACAGAGATCACAATCGGGTGGGGAGATGGCTGAGAACAGCAAGGAAGAGTAAAATGACAGATGTGCAAAGGGCCCCAAGAGATGATAAGGGTCCCGGGGTCTAGTCTGAGGAGTGGGAGTGGGGATTGGGAGGTTTGCTGAAACATGTAATGTTTCGACTGATCTTCAAAGGGTGAGAGGAGTTAACTGGTGAAGATGGTGGCCCGTGAGCCTTCTGGGCTGTGGGAAGAGCATGAGCAAAGGCCCAGTGGCAGGAAACTCAGCGTATCTGAAGAGCTGAACACAGTGAGATGTGCTGGAGGAGGGGGCACTGTGGGGCAGGAGAGAGACAGGGCCTGACCAGGTGGGGGCTTGTAGGCCAGGGTCAAGAGTCTAGTCCGGGCGTCGGCAAACTTTTGAGACGGAAGAGCCGCCAGAGGTCAGCAAACTGCGGCTCGCGAGTCACATGCGGCTCTGAAGTAAAATTGAAAATGAAAATGAAACTATCTTAGCTTCATTTATAAAAATGTTAAAGGATATTATTCACATAATGGTGATTATGTAAAAATGTATTTATGACTCTCGAATAATTTTTACATTGTCGTGAGGGACAGGGTTGGCTCTTCCAGGGGTCGGCAAACTTTTGAGACGGAACGTACCCAAAGAGCCGCACGCGGCTTGTGAGCCGCAGTTTGCCGACCCCTGGTCTAGTCTATGATCTGAAAGCAATGCAAATTCCCTGAGCGGGGTGAGGAGGAAGGGGTTCCAGAAGACGGATGTGCATCCTGAAAAGCTCTGTCCGCCTGCAGCAGGAGTCGATGCAGAGGGACTATTTAGGAAGCTACCACAGCTGATGGCAACAGAGAGGAGGCAGGTGGTAGCTGGTAGTGGGACAAGTG